GTTATTTTTATTATTTTTATTATTTTTATTATTTATTATTTTTTTTTAAAAAAAAAGAGATTCTTTTATTCTTAATTCTATGCATAATTGATAGACGACATTTTTAGTATCTAATATCTATAATACGTTAGAATAACGCACGCAGGATACGCAGAATTCCGCAAGATAAGGTCGAGATAAAAATTTTCCCAAACCTTATTTTTTTTCGCACAAATGATTTTGCAATTATTTTTAAGATTCTAAATGGATTGAATTATTAATAATCATTGACAGCAACAACAATCGTATAATCTAATTGAATTGATCATTCTCGCTTTTTTTTTCATATATGGTTAAATAATAATAATAATATGATAAAAAAAACACATTATGATGATAATAATAATAATAATAATAATAACAAAAACAATAATAAGCGTCAGAGTGAATAGATCACGACGATGGTACAAAATAAAAACAATAACGATAAGATAAAATAAGATAAAGATAAAAACTAAAGATAAACATCTTGTATGACAGAAGAAGAATGAATTGATCAAATGATGATACGTTTTATGGTTTAATATTGTTAATCTTTTACCATGTTATGTAATTATCTCTTTTCTATTTACCTTCTGCAGACCTTCCCATTTTATTTTTATTATTATTATGATCATGTTATTTTATCAGATAACCATATTAACATTAAAAATCGTAATATATACAGCTTAAATAACTAAAATGAGCTTTTGTTTACTTTCCAATTTGGTTATCGAATTATTTATTTTATATATTTTAATAGATATATATGTTGATTTATTTATTATCAGATTCTTTATCTTTTACCATTTTTATATTTATAAATAATTATGTAAGATACGCACATATTTCATATATATTAATTATTAATTATTCTGTGAATTTTTCTTTAGGGATGGTTTTGTTGTGGTTGTGTTGCTGTTGTTGTATGTGTGTTCCGTGTGTTCTGTGCGCTCCGTATGTGTTATATTATGAGTGGTTATAAAAAATCGAATGATATTTTTTTATCAAATAATCAAGAAGAACAAAGTTTTGTGCGTTCATGATATTCATGATATTGATTACCAAATTCATTTCTCCACAAAAAAAAAATTAAAAATTAAAAATTTTAATAATTTAATTAATTAAAACAAACAAGTAGAAAAACAAGAAATAAATAAATTATTTCTTTCTTCATTCAGGCATAAATATAATAACAATAATATTAATAATGAAATGGTAATAACAATTATTATTATTATTATCATTAGCTAATAATAAAGAAATTGGAATGACGTTTTCATTCATTTCATAAACATTTTTTTTGTGTAATAAAAAATAGGGAAATAAAAAAAAAGTTATTCATTTTCTTGTTATTTTTTTATGTAAAAACGTAAACGTCAATTATTGTTTATCTAAATAAAAAAAAAAGTGCGTGTAAAAAAAAAAAAAAAAAAAATAGAAATTTAATTATATAAAAATTTGACTATTCAAGATTATCGAGAATGGTTTTGTGCGTGTTGTCTGCGTAAGTAAAAAAAAGGGTTGTTTATAAAAAAAAAAGTTATTTATAATTAATGTTTAAAAAGTCCTCATGTCTAATCAAATTGTTATTTATAGTAATAATGATAATAAATAAATTAAATTGGTTATAAAATAAACTATGATTATACATTTTATTAATATTTTATTATTATTTTGATTATTATGTTATCGATCTTTGATTATATGTAAATGCATGTATTCTTATTCTTATATATGTTTTCCTCTTTACCTACCCTTTACTTGAATTTACTTTCACCAAAGTTTAATCTAATTATTAATGTAATCATAATGATCATAATAATAATAATCATAATATGCTTTTTTTATACTATTTTTATAATTCTTCTTTGATTAAACCCTAATTTGGTTAGACCAATAAAAAAATATTTATCCACTTTAAATCTAGTTTAAAAACTTGTTTCTCTCTTTCCCTACTACTTTGTTATTTTTTAGTTACATGTGCATAAACTTGTGTGAGACTTTAATATGTAATTTGATAAAAGGTAATTTAACACGATTACATTATGATATATACAATTTATATATAAATTATATTAACATGTATCAATTATATTAACATATGAGAGAAATATATTTTTTTTTTTTGTATTGGAAGTCATGTTGTCAAAAAGGGTTTTTTTTTGTTAGCTCGTTTTGTAATAATTGTGATAAATATTAAAAAAAGTAAAAGAGAAAAGAATAGCGTGATATAATATAAAGTTAAAGATTAAATATTAAATAAAATTATTATTATCATTATTATTATTTACTAACTACTAGGAAAAAAAATAACTTGCATATGATCGTGTATGTGATAGATGTTTAAGATGTTTTTTTTTCTTTATGGAAGTATAATTTAATTAGAAACTTTTCTACTTATTTATTTATATTTATATTTATATTTTTTTTTTTATTTTTATTTTTATTTTAAAATTTTAAGTTGATGGATAACAATGTGAGTTCAACCATATTCTACATATAATAAATAATAATATGGTATGGAAATCAACTACATAGATAATTTATAACACGCAATATATATATATATATAGATAGATAGATCATAATAAGAAATTTTCCCCGATGTATATTCTCTGAGTTTGTCAAAGTGCAGTGCAGTATAAGAAACAAGTAAAAAAGCAATCAATTAATCAAACCAAAGCAATCAAACAAGAACCGCATTTTTTTTGAATTGATTTTAAAATATATATTATATATATACACAAGTTTGATTATTGATAATTATCATTTTTTATTATATATTATATATTATTATTATTATTATTATTATTATTATTATTATTATTATTATTATTATTTATTATTATTATTATTATGATTATTAAGACATTACTAATTATTTATTGTTTATTATTCACATACTTATTTATTGCATATTTATTATTTATCCTGTCTAAAATTTATTTATTTATCTATCTTTTCTATTTATTATTATGAAAAATAACAAAGATTGTGTATGTACGAGAGATAGATAGAACGAAGCAAGGGAAAACGAACTTTTAAACTGTAATGTAATCTGAATAATCAAGTGATACATGTTTTTATTTATTATGCATTTCATCTTTCTCCTCAAATTTCTATATTTCTGTTATTTATATGAATTTTAATTTAAAAAAATAAAAAAAATTTTTTTTTGATCCTGTCCCCATATTATTATTATTACTAAAATATTACCTTTTAATATTAATCTTGATGAATACTTTGTATGATACCGCATAATATTATAACTAATATGTTTACATATTTTGTTTATATAACAATAAAAATATTATTATTTATTTATTTATTATTATTATAGTTATGATTTGTTTATTTCACGAGAAAAAAAAAAGGTGTAATAAAGAAAGAAAGAAAGAAAGAAAAAATTTTTTTTTCAGACGTTCAATTGAATGTGTTGCGCATCACTATACTATCGTTATTTTGATTTTTTTTTTTTTTTGAAATATCTAACAGTTTAAATGTTCAATATGATGTTCAACAACTTATACTACCTTATTATACTTATTATACCTAAAAAGAATACCCAGAAATGAATGTTGTCCTATGCCAAGGTTTTCTTGGTAAATATTTGATATAAACATGCGTAATGGTAATGGTAATGATGAGCACATGCCAAGAAAATAAATAATAACTCTTTTTCCTAACAATAAGTCACTGATAAGAGAAGAAGGGAGAAACGTTTTTTTTTTCCATTATGATTTTTTATTTTATTTTTACATTTTTTAAAATGAAAAAAAAAACAATTACTTGATTAATTATACTTTAATTATTCCAAACAGTTATATTAGATTATTAGATTTGTATTACCGCATCCACAATTTAAAATAAGTATGCACATAAAGGCATTTATATATATATTTTATAACATAGGCAAACATTATAAAATTTTAGTTATTGTATTTTTTTGTATTATTGTATTTTAAAGTTTATTGTGTTATTGTTATTTATTGTTTCTTTATTTATAAATTATTTATATCATTTTTACTAAAAAGAATTTACCATACGAATTTCTCGATTTGGGAATGTGTGTATTACTAGAAAAAAAATAAAAATAAAACTTTTTTCGGTTTTTTCAATTTTTCATACACATATATATATACATTGGTATTTCCTAATGTGTCGTTCAGTAAACCGTTATTATTTATTTATTTATATCATTATTTTTTATTATTTTAATAACATTTTATGTAAATAAATAATAAATTAATTTATATTATAAAGATATGTCACCAATTAAATCGCAATAATCACATGTCACATTAATCACATTTATAATAACAATAATAAAAAAAAAGGGGACACAAAAATCCAGATTCTTTCGAAAAAAACATTTATTTAAAGCACATTTTCGCCTTTTCAAAAAATAACAAAAAAAAAAAACTCCCCAAAAAAAAATTCAAAGAATTCGAAGAAATATAAGAGTCATTTAAAACAAAAATCTTTATTTTTTTATTATTCATTAATCTTATTAATCTTACTTATTTCTCTTTTAAAACTTGTAAATTATTCTTCCTCTTTTATTCCTTTTTTTTCTTTTCTTTTAATTAAACCCTTGTATTTAATTTATTATTATTTTATATATTTATATATTTATATTTATATATATATATATATATATATCTATCTCTACATAACCTCATTTTTTTATTTCGTTTTTTCTCGAAAAATAAAAATAAAATTCTTTTGTATAATATTTATATAAATTCATCAAAATTCATCATTCATCATTAACATCATCATTTTATTCTTTTATCGTTTATTTTGAAGAAACGAAACATATTTTTATTTATAATTCATTTTTATTGTTAATAATATCCTTTGTGATCAAAATTAAAACATAGATATTATTATCTTCTATAGCAACAATAAACAACAACCAAAACAGCGGCAACGGTAAACCAACAACAACAACAACAAACAAAACTATAATAACAATCATGACAGCCTCTAAACCGAAAACGGCCTCCCAATTTGTTAGTAATAACGATTCTTTAAGACGAACACAAAACAACACTATGACAAAAAGACCAAGAGGACCGATTAACAAGAGGGCCTGTCAACGTTGTAGAAGTGGCAAGATAAAGTGTGATGGAGACGCAGAACATAACAAAAGCTGTTCAAACTGTGATCCTGAAAGTTGTATCTTCGATACCTCACCTCGTAAGAATAAACAAGTTGAGCATCTGAAGCAGAGGCTGGGGCATTTAGAAGAACAGCTCGAAAGTATCGTTCAAGGTGTAAATGATCAATTAACGATACAAGAATTAAAAATCGAAATCTTAAGTCTTTTAATTGATTTGAAAGAATTGTTTGATGGATCAGAAAATGTTTTCAGGGAATTGAAAAAGCTTACCATGCAAGGAAATTGTGTTCAACAATTATTAATATTTATTCGTGAACTTTTACAACGAATATCAAAAGAGCAAGATCGAATTCATGAAATTATTGATAGTTTACGAAAAGTAATTCTGTGTGCGGAGGAAGTAAACAAAGATCCTTCGAGTTTATCGCAGCTTCAGGCAATGCCTGTTCAACAAATTCAAATTCAGCAACAACAACAACATCATCATCATCAACATCATCATCATCATCATCTCCTTCATCATCAACAACAACAATCATCTCGCGAATCACATACATCACCCGTTTTCTTTAATACCGAACAATTAGTTATATCTGGACATCATCAACAACAACAACAAAATCCAAATAATCCAAATCATAATCCAAATCCGATTCATGAAAGTCCAATTCATAGTCCACATAATGATGATAATAATAATAATAACCTTACTCCATCATCCCCGTCATCAGGATATTCAATTGACCACCAATTTAATTCAGACACCGAAATCAATAATAATAATAATGAAATCGAAATCAATAATGAAATCAATGGTGAAATTGATGGAAATAATCTTTCATATTATTATTATCCCCAAGACCCCCAAGACTATAGTTCTTTCTTTTATTATCAACAACAGTAAAAAAAAACTATATTATTATTATTATTATCGATATTATCGAAATTATCAATATCAATATCAATATATATATATACACACGTGTATGTATATATATTATATATGTAGATATACGTGTATATATTATATATATATTTTATGTGAAAATAATAAGATATGGTAAATTTTTAAATGATGAGATGAGATGATGAGAAATATTAGAAAAATTAGAAAAAATTATGCTAAAACGAATATGAATTGAAAAAAATTGGAAAATTATAATATTTTATGGGTCCTTGTTTTATTTTTATTATCGTTATTATACTTTAGTATTATACTTTGTTGCTGTTGCTCTTTTTTTTTTTTGATATCACTTTTATTATCATTATTATTATTGTTTATTAATTCTTCTTCTTCTCATTCTTCTTATTTTTTTTTATATTGTTCTTATCTTTATTATTATTTCTACGAAAAGTTGGGAAAAAAAAAGAAAAATTGAAAATTTTTTTTATGTAATTTTTATTTTATATATGTATATATGTTTACATATATTATTTACATTTTTACATTTTATTGTAATCAAAAAAAAAAAAAAAAATCGATATAACAAAAATTATTTCAGTTTTTGCAGTTTTTTTTTTTTGGACAGTATCATTATTATAATTTTTCATTCGGTTATTTCATTTCGGTACTTGTTTGGTATTTAGTTATAAATTAGTTCAAAATTACGGATTCAAAATTACGGAAAATGGACAATTTTATTTTCATTTATTTATTTATTTTTATTTTTCGTCGACATTTTTTTTTAAAAAAAAAAAATAATCTAAAATTTTTTAAATAAAAGAATTATACTTTGTATAGTGTATATATTTATATATTTTTTTTATTTCTTTTATTTTTATTTTATTTTTTTTTACTGAAAATTTTTTTTAAAAAAAAAAAATTATTTATGATTGATAACAACTTCAATATATTTCTATCATTCTATCATTATGCATTATGCATTTTAATTTCTCTTTTTTTTTCTTCTCTCTTTTATTAGACCTCTTTTGTCATATGTAAAAAACAATAACAATAATAATAGTAAAGATTCAATAAAAAATGGAAATTTTACAATTTTTAAATCAATTTTAAATCAATTTAATGTCTTTAATAAAATCTTTAATAATAACATCCTCGTTTTAATGTGCCACCTTTTTTTAATGCGCCTTAATGTCTTTGCCATTACAGGTATAATTTCTTATTTTACAAATTTAGACACAATGTACATTTTTTTGGGAATGTAACACAAACATACATATCACCAAAGATGTTTTTATTAGTGTGCCAGTTTTACTATAAATAAAATAAACAAGTACCAATTAAGTATTCATTATTTTTATTTTATTTATTGGAACACGAATTAAAAAAAAAAAAAAAAAAAAAAAAAAAGGATTTAAAAATTTTTAATTTAATTCTTTCTTCCACATTTACACGCACAACATTTAATATTAAAGAAATATTTAACTTTAAAATTAACTTCAAAAATTAACGTTTTTAAATTAATTAAAATTAATTTAGTTTCTTTGTAAAATACATATTCATTTACTTTATTCTATCATTTCTCCAAAATTAGTCAAAAGGTTTTTTTATATCAAAAATCAATAACTAAAATGGTATGTATATATGTATTATTATTATGATGATGATGATGGTGATTAATGATAATTATAAACAAACAAACAAAAGTTGTTTTTCTTTTTTAATTTAGTTAAATATAGTTAAAATGTGAAAAAAATAAAAGTTTATTTAAATTTATAATTAGAAAAAAAAATATCGATATAAATATAGGTATTTTTTTCGTTTATTAAAGAGCTAAGAGCATATAAATAGAGTATGAATAAATATAGAATCGTGCAGTTCATGAGTTTTTATTTAAATAAGAATGAGGAAAAAATTTAAAATAAGAGTATATAAATGAGAATATAAATGAAAGTATAAAATAAGAGTATATAACCAAGAGCGTAAAATTAAAGCATAAATTAGGTATATAAAGGAAATTCATTTCATGTGTTTCAATAATATTATTTAATATTACAATATTATATATTGATATTTATGGTTACAATAATTAATAATTAATAATATTATTATTAAACTGCTGCTGCAAGATGTAAGTACGACAAAGAATCAAGGACAAATAAGTAAATTAACCAAATTAGATAACTAAAGTCCGAACTGAGAAAGTAAACGAGATTACTATTGTTATATTATTGTTATCATATGCAAGATAGGAATGGAAAAAAATGTTATTTATTATCAAATTTATCTTGCAGAATTTAAAAAAAGATATCGCGAAATTTTTTAATGATGTTATTTTTAAAAATAAATTTAAAAACAAATTCTCATTAACAGTTATTTGTTTGTTGTTGTTATTATTGCACCCGTTAATTTTAAATAATGTTGTGTTGTTTGGTTATCAAATTGAATGAAAAAAACTCCTCGTTGTTAATTTCCTTGTCATTTTTTGAAATTTACATTTTTTTTTTTTTTTTAATTATAATAAATTAAATTTACTTTATTGGTCAAAAAAAAAAATTAAACTTTTTTTTGTTGATTTTTTTCCAATTCCGTGGTTTAGAATTACACAGATATGTATACTAATAAGGAAATATTATACTATAAAAATATAATAAAATATTCAATGATATTAATAGATTCGTAATATATAATAAATAATAATAAATAATAATAATAATAACAATAATATTTTATTTATCAGGTTTAATTAAATTAAAATTTTTAAAGGAAAAAATGAATAGAAAAATGTGATTTTGGTTACATGTAATACCGTTATAATTTTTTTGTGTGAATGAAACTTATTTTAGACAATTATGATAAAGATATGATAAAAATGATAAAGATGAAAGATGTTAAAATGTGATTCATTTAAAAATAAAGTTGTTGTGATAAATTAAAGTTTATTTATTGTGCATTCGATATTGTTTGAGTTTTGGCGTGTGTGCGTGTGTGCGTGTGTATGTTTGGGACGTTTGAGAGGATCGTATGATAAATAACTCAAAATAGCGGCAAACTGGCGGTACTGGTTGGTTTAACAAACTAAAGGAAGTATAAAGAACTTTTTTTTAAACAAATTAAAATTTTTTTTCTTTTGTTCTTGTTCAAATTCCTGTTTACCAGCGTTATCGTTCAAGGTTTTCAATGCTGTGTGTGGGTATAGATAAGGACTTCTTTTTTTTCCTGATATGTATTGTGGTTCTTTTGTTATTGATTTCATATACCGTGTTTATTTTGTTTACTTTATTTGAACCATTATTTTATTTCTCTTCGTTTTTTTTTTGTCGTTATATTTGTTTATTGTCTATTTATCATGTTTCAGTATCCCGTTTATTACCTTGTTCATACTACTTATTTTGATTATGCACCGCTCATTTGATTATAGTACAAAAGAATGAATTGAAGAATACTATGGGGGTTTTTTTTTTCTTTTTGAACTAAGATTATTTATATTGTCGGTTATATTGTTTATTTTCTATTTATCATGTTTCAATGATATCCTGTTTAATACCTTGTTCATATTACTTATTTTTGATTATGCTGACCATTTATTCTGATTATAATACCGAAGAATGAATGAATTGAAGAATATTATGGCTTTTTTTTTCTTTTTTGAACTAAAAATTATTTATATTGTACCACTTTTGATAACTATATATTTATTATTTATTATTTATTATTTTATTTATTTAATTATATTCATTCCATTCATTTTTAAGAGTACTACTACTAAAAAGCAATATATAAAATAAAATAAAATAAAGTAACAAAAGAATGAATCTAAAAAAGAAACTCGTGACGTGATTTTATCAAAAAGAAAAAATTTTATTAGTCTCAATTTCCTATTTTCCTTTTTCTTTTCTTTTTTTTATTGCCTTTGATTGATTATTATTATAAAATATATGGTGTAGTACGATACTAAAACTAATTTGGAATATTTATTTTTTATTATTTTATTTTTCCGTTTTGCATCACATCACAATATTTATACCATTAAAAATAAATGTGCTCGTTATTGATTTTTATTATAATAATAATTCAATATTATAAAATTTTTTTCCTTGAGTGAAAGGCTTTTATTGTATCCTTAAGATATTATAATAAGAATTCATTTTTTTATTGTTTAATCATCATTTTCAGAAATTAACTCCTTTTTTTATATGATTTTGATATTATAGACATTAAAATAAAATTCTTTTCTTTATTAAGAATGTGTTATTGTTTCTTTCTTTTTAAAATCAATATTCTTACTAAAATACTTGAATAAAAATTACTATATCTTTGTTCCATCACAATTTCTCGCATTTACATAATAACAATCACTATTCTTCACCTTTAATACACTGAAATTTCGAACCACTTTTCTTTTGGTGAATTCTACTTCAAATTTGCATGGATGCAAATGAAATATTTTACTATCAACAATATAGTAAGGGCTTAAATTTGAGATTTATTTTTTTTATCATCTTTTATTTTGAATTTATTGATTTTGTAATAAGATAGTTTATTGTTAAGATTTGTTATAATAATAAACACGAAAAGTAAATTGTTAATTGCTTATTTATTAACTGTCTTATCAAATGATCCCTTTGTTTAATTGATATGTTTTTAAAGCTTAATTTATTTTTGGTTTGTTTTTTATTTATTATATTCTATATATTCTTAGAAAGAATAATGTTTTATTGTACTTTTATTTTGAAATTTAATTTGATTCAAAATTATTGTTTAACTTTGAGAGTTTCCTCTTTTACAGCGGGGTTATCATTCTTTCCCACTCCAATTCCCCTGTAATTACCTTCTTTTAAACACATACCTTAATTGCTCTTCCAAAGGAGTGAATTATTCGAGTTGTTCTTTCGCTTGAATTGCCGCGGATGCTTCATTAGATGTCATAAGTCGAAGCACTTTTCATTCATCACGGCCGGTAATGATACGTGGGCGCTCAGATTTCGGTCTATTTTCATTACTACCTGTCTCTTTTAATCGTTTATTTATTCTAGAGACAGAAGAGTAATGAACTCCTTCAACATGGGCAACATAACGGACGGTGTTCCCTTCTTCGAGAAGCACAGCTACCCTAGCCCGTTTCTCGGCAGATATTTGTTTCGTGGTGTTTTTTTTTATAAAATCACCTGAATCATGATCGGTGAAAGATTTTTCCTTAATGGGGAAAGTGGGTTTAAAAAAGTTGCAAAAGAATTGCAATTAACGTCAGGTGACACAAGATATTAATCGTGGTAATCACTATACTAATATTAAAGTTTTAAATAAAATAAATATAAAAATAAATAAAAAAATTTAAAGTTTTTATTAAAATTAATGAAAAATACTACAACAAAGATAATTTTTTTTTTGTTGCAGTACTTTTGTGAGCCACTGTACATTTGCTAGTAATAAGGTTGAAAATATTATTAAACAAGCATATGTCATTGATAAATTATTTTTTTATTAAATATATGCTCTTTTTTTATTTGCGACAATAAATTTATTGACAATTATTTTATTAAATGAACAAAAGTTGTGAAAAACTTAAAAATACATTTGAAAAACAACACAATATCCATATAAACCACGAACATTAGAATTATTGACAGAAAAATAGCCTTATTTTTACTAGATTATTTTTATAAGCTTTTTATTAATTAAGAAAAAAGTAAAATATACAGAAAAAATCACCATAAACTAATTACACTTGATAAAATTGTTGATTTAAAGTACCTTTTTACAGGATACAATATTAGCAAAATTCTATTATTTGATACTTGTGATCACTGTAATAAAAAATTGGAAAATGTGGATGTGTTAGCATATGGTCATGAATATCATTTGAGTATTATCAAGTATTAGAATATAGATATAAATATTGTAAAAAATATTATAAAAAATATTATAAAAAAGGAATTTATACCAATGTAAATTCTTTTATAAAAAGATTGGAAAAGGGTCCAAACATTTTACTAGAAAGAACAGGAAAGAGAAGAAGAAAACCTGATGAAAATGAACCAGAAGAAATGATAGAAATAAATAAAAACCAAAAAACTCATGTGACATTTTTAACAGCAATTAACGAAGTGAATAGTTGGTAGTAGTGATTGAAACTGGATCCCTATGAGCAAACTGGATATCCAGATGACTTTAAAACTAGATATCCAGGTGAAAATGGATTATTTTCAAAAAAAAATTTCACCTGATTTCATCTGGTTGAAATACAAACCAAGTGAAATAGATAACAAGTTTTTATTCAAATTAATATTTGATCTGGATGAAATAGAATTAATTATTATTATAATGTTTAAATTTTAAACTAGATAAAATAAAATTTAACTATCAAGAAATTTTAGGAGACAAAAATTTGTACAAATTTTCATTATCTACAAAAATTTACAGAAGTTTTTGTATTTTTTTATTTTTTTGACTTTGCTCACGATTTGTGGGGCGTAGAGTAATTTTTTACTAATATATTTCTAATATAGATAGAATGGCCTTGTTGTTAGCTACAGAATTATATGTGTTTCATTCCTATAACATTGATATTTGCAGAGTTATTCCAGTTTAAAGAAAAACATCCATGAAAAATTGTGGTACAGATTTTTACATGATTTTTCACAGACGTTTTTCTTTAAACTGGAATAAATTCATGAATATCAATGCCATCTAGATTAAACACATACCAAAAACAAGGCCATTCTATCTATATTAGAAATATCTTAGTAAAAAATTGCTTTATGCTTCACAAATCATGAGCGAATTCAAAAAAAAAAAAGTAAAAAAAATACGAAAATTTCTGGAATTTTCATTTTAGCTCACTATTTATGAAGTATAAAGTGACTTTCTACTAAAGTATTTCTAATATAGAAAAAAAGATCTTGTTCTTGGCTACAAAATTATGTGTGTCTCATCCATATAGCATCGATATTTATGAATTTATTCCAGTTTGAAGAAAAACGTCCATGAAAAATCATATGAAAATCATGTGAAATCAGTACACATGATTTTTCACAGATATTTTTCTTTAAACTGGAATAATTCTGTGAATATAGATGTTACAGGGATGAAAAACATATCATTTTGTAGCAAACAACAAGGCCATTCTATTTATCTTAGAAATATCTTAGTAAAAAATTGCTCTATGTTGTTCAAATAGTGAGTGAAGTTGAAAATTAAAAAAAAAAACTAAAAATAAAAATATCACGGTTTCGAAAGTTTAAACTGGATCACCTGTGGTATCCAGATGAAACCAAATTATATAAAAAATATCTTATATTAAAATCTCACAAACATTCAGATTTATTTGAATTAAATTTGCTCATATAAAATATAACTTTTAAAGTATTTAATTATAAAATTTCAAGTTATTAATAAATGTATTGTGTAATTGGTCAATAAATTTGCTAATAAATCATATGAAATTTTTGTGTAATATGCTGATCAATTTATAACTTCCCTTATGCTATCCCAAATAGTTTCATTTTATATTTTATATCTTTATTTAATTATAATTCTCAAAGGATAAAATGTAATTATTTACATAAGTATATGTATATAAATTCCTATTAAATTTATATAGTGGAAGTGAAATAATAAATATTATTATTCAAGTTAATAAATTATAACTTATTGAATATAATAAAGTGGAAGTTAGGATGTTAAATGGAAATTATATAATTAATTAAATAATTAATTATACTGTATTTGTTCTGTTCTAATGATTATTGAGAAGTTTAATAATAAAGTATTTATTTATTTAATACTAAAATATGATATGAGAAAGTTATGAAGATACATTATTTAAGGAGATAGGATGAAATTATGAAGATAAATCAGTAAGGATGTTATGATGAAATTATAAATATATATTATTAAGGATGTTTGGAAGTTGAGATATAATATTAAAATGGATGTATTATGATTAAGAGTATGACTATTAGTTTATTAGTTCTATCTAAAAACTAACTGGTGCCTTCTAAAATTAAAGGAATATCCAAACTGAAAGTCCTACTATAAACTCCTTAAAAGAACTGTTGAGTGGATGTTGACAAAAATGCCCACAACAATTGATTTATGATTTAATTATTATAAATAAATCTAAATAATACTTACCCTCTGTGATGAAAAATAATATGATTAATTAATAATTGAAACGAAAGGTTAAAGTAGGTTGAAATTATGATTTTAATTATTATAAATAAATTTAAATAATGCTCACATGCTGTGATGAATAATAATTGATTAGTAAAAGGTTATGAATATTAGATAATTAAAATTATATTATTATTTTAATTATTATAATTATTATAAATAAATAAATGTAAATAATACTTACATACTGTGATAAGTTATGATGCAATCAATTAATCAAAAGGTTATGATTAATTACATAATGCATGTCATTAATATCTTTTTAAAGCCATTACATAAAAACGATATTGACCTTTGAATTTAATATCCACATTTTGAATATTATGTACAAATTGACTCAAACGTCAAAATCAAACAGGTTTCAAAATTTTACTTTTTACTTTAAGCGATATATTTTAAATAATAAAAAAACAAGAGTAATCCAAGTAATAGTTGTTGTGAGCAAAGTTACAATTATTTTCTTTAAAAAAAAATACAGGAAATAGAATTCTGAATTACTAAAAAAAAAACAAAGAAAAACTTGTTTTTATTGTGTTACGAAATAAATTCAATTTTTATTTCTCCGATTACTATATCTTAATATCCTATTGATTTAATATCACTACGTTATTTTAATGTAGCGAGAAGTTTAAATTTGGAAAGGCAAATAAATAATAATTTTTACAACTTTAAAATTATTTACGCAATTCATATATAATTCATATATAATATAACAATATTGGAAATGTGAAATATACCGAGTAAATCCTGCTTTTTGTTACCAGAAAAAACAAAAGGACAATAATGAAACTTCGCTTCAAAAGGTTGGAGACATATGATATCATATGAGTGTATATATTTTAAAGAAAAAGAGAGGGTTATGTATATCAACAGTAATTTACAGTAATTTATAATAATTACGCAACCTCTAACTAAAAGAAAAAAATTTTAAATTCAAGTATAAGTTTAAATTCTAAATGTTTAACATTCAGTAGTTAATAAACTTTAATCAAATACAAATAAAATCACATAAGTTTCATGTTGATCATTCTATTCCTACATTTATAAATCCAGAGTTCAATAAAATATTTTATTATTTTTATTATTTTGCAAATTATTATTATGCAAACTATTATTATGATTCAAAAATTTTACTAATATCTTAATATAGAGATGTTAAATATAATTTCATCACTGGGATGATGTTGGTGTTAAGGGATATCCCGGCCGGAAGACCAAAGATATAATATTATTATCACTATCAATTATCTACATTCAACAACAATTTAAAAATCAAGAATTACATTATCAACAATGTTATTTAGATAGTATTCGAGAAAAATTTATTATTATAACAAAAATTATCCTATGATGACATTTATTGCAAGTCAAACCATTTATTACTCATCACAGATTTTAAACGTGATATATTTATTGAAATTATATTTAAAACAATTTAGTAATAGGAGGAGAGGATTAGATCTAGTTTATAAATTGGAAGACACATAATCCGTCATGTGAATTTACATGACATATAATAATGAATGTTATCAAATATGGTTAAGATAACAACAATCACTTTTTTTCAATACGATTTTTTTATAAATATTTTGAAAGAATTATCTATATATATTTACATAGACAATAATAAATCCTTAAAGTTCATCTGTTAAAATTTATTAGTTTGTGAATAATTATATTTTTATTTTATTATTATTTTTTTTTCTTTAAAAGATTTGAACTAATGGTATTTTGTAAATAAATAATATTGGACTATAAAAATATTGAAACGCGTGTTATTTAATTTCACTTTGCATTTGTTTTAAGTGCTGAAATACAAATCTCAAACTCTATTGTAGAATGTTAATTGATTAATATTTTCTGTTTCACTACATAATTGTAATTTAAATTAAAAAAGAATACATGGTAAAAAGACTGTTTATTAATTATCAAATTCTTCAACATGTATTGGTTCAATAAATATAGTTCTATATCCTCTAATAAATCACAATTATAAATTGTTGTATAATTTTCATTTTCAAATTTCTCGTGTGCTCCGTGCTCTGTTATATCCATTATTAAAAATAAAGAATTCTGGGTTATGTAATTCATTACAATTTGTATCAGAGTGTATTTAAAAATCATCTGTATTATTGTTACTTTTCTCAGGTAATCTATCTTCAATATATTCATTTAATTCATTTTACGAAAGAACGTATTTTCTTTATGAAATTTTTATTTCTTTCATTCCAAACTTTAGCAAATTTTGACTTTGAAGTTTAAACATACTTTAATCACGTTTGTAGGGTAGTTTTTTGTTTTTGCGCTTCGATTGTCTTACACATAGCTTCAGAAAGCCCTTTTAAATTTTTATCATTATCTGCTAAGTCATCAAACGTCTGTATCAGTTCATCTAGATCTTCATGCGAAGGCTGATGGATCGTGACATCTGTTCCAGAACTCGATTCATTAAACTTGCACAAATGTTCACATGAAAGGATACCTATCTGTTTTGATTTTTTTTTTGTCACGAACGACAGCACCGAAGAGTTCCTGATGTTCTTTGTGGTGCTATTACCCCTATTCTCGATCCCAACCGAACGACGTCATTTTGATAAGATTTACATTGATTCTCACCAAGACTATAAGAACAACATCTACCAGATACCCACGAATCTCTTTTGGAAATAAGTTACCACATCCTCGCGTAGAATTCCTTTCTGACGAACATATAGAATAATAGCAGATATTTTGGTAAGTTTATTTTTAGTTTGGTACTCATCCCGACCAGATTATAATGCATTTCGCGGAATGGTGGACCCAGTTCATTCTTTAAGGCTTCATCAAAAGCTTTTTGTAAATCTTGTGAAACATTTTCACAGATTGGCAGAGGATCACAAACATTTGGTGGAATCTCCGCATCAAAAAATCTTTTTCTTCTGGTATAAAATGAATTACTTGACCTTCTGTGACTTCATTATATTCACGTAAGTTATGATTACGAGTAACCACGTAAATACTCCATGTTGTTTCACCAGTGAGAATGTTTCGGCCCTAAAATATGTCCACGACATCATCTCTTGGTAAAGATAATTTAAGAGAACTTCATTCCAGTGAGCTGTTTCGATTATATTTGAAAGTTTCTCGAGTTTTCTTATTTGAATGTAATATGGGCAAATTAAGGCTATTCGATTAAAAAGAATAAGTAAAATAAAATTACCTTCATCCTCTTCTTCTTGTTCAAAATACAATTTATTGAGTTTTTCTCGAACTTCCAAAATAAGTCATACCATTGATTTTTAGGTTATGAAAATCGTTGGAGCGAACTTTTTCTTCTCGTTTTAATTTCCTTACAGCTCGTATAAATTTGTAAACGAATGATATTTATCGTCTTCTGTATAAAGAATACCTTCCCATAATGTCGCTTTATGAATACAATCTTTGTCTAGGTATTCTACAATGTCTCCTTCAGACAAAAGCATATTACGTACAAAGTCAATTTTAAAAGGTGATAGTGGTGGTTTGGCAATAATATGTATATAATCGCAGAGTGGTTCATCGGTGAAGTAACTACTTATCTTCCCCGTTCCTTCGCAAAGTTGATCGTCATCATGGAGTATAAGATTTTTGAGCTCATTTCTACGAATCTGTTCCACATTCTAAGCTTGTCCGAATCAAAGCTATGAAGCTCTGTTTCTTTTTTCTTAATAGCTTCCTTGAGTTGATTAATATTCTTATTTCTATCAATTTCTATGGAAAAAGTTTTACCGTTTCCTTGAACAAAACCATTCAGCGTAATTTTATCCATTTGATTAGTCAAGATAGGAACTTGAATAAAATTTGATCCAGTAATCAGATTTTATTTATATTATGGAATGAATTTGTATATCACCTGATGCCAATTAATTTATGAGGTTGTTGGCAGCATCACATTTCTTAAATAAAAAATAGAATATTAAGTGAGGATTTGATCTTGAAATTTCTTTTAGTCTTTGATCGATCTAGATGAGATATTTCAATATTGTGCAACGACTAAAGATATTTAAAAAAAAATATTTTAAACTTTGGTCTTCCCGATATTCACCAGTTGGATAAAATCATCTCGTGCCGTGACCTAACGTGACTTCTCAATACTACAATTAATTTCATTAATTATTTGATTAATTTTATTATTTCAAAATAGTATCATAAAATTTATATTATAAATTCTATTGTAATATATAAAAAAAAAAATTCAAATTTTATTAAACTTTTATTCAAAAATAAAATTATACAACTTTGGTTAGATTCAAGGGCGACTAAACTTCCCCGATCATGTGAAACCTTGTAACAGAAATTTGACTTTGATATTTTACGTACGTTTACGCTCCGTGTGCTACAATCAAAACAAGAATAGTGATAATTCAGCCTTGGAAAAATGCTCTCAAAACTTCTCGCATTGACCTTCCAATGTATATTAGTATGTCGCTCAGTACCCCCGCCAGGCGCTAGTAAAGTCTGCCGAACGCGTCTGCGAAAAACTGAAGGCTTGATTCCAGCTTTCTTCATCTACACTTCCAAGTTCCTTACAATTGAAGCATCTGTCTTTTGTCTCTCCTACATTTACCTCCTCTTCCATCAGCAAAATAATCCTTCAACTAACGCAATACCACTCAAAACGTGGACTCCGGGTGATGTAGTTTCCTTTCTTCTAATCGTACTCGGTTCGGCACTTCGTATCTATAGCATTAAAACCTTGGCCAACTACTTCACCTGTAATGTCGAAGTCCAAAAAGATCACAAACTTGTCACAATAGGTCCTTACAAATATATACGACATCCATCGTATATCGGCGCAACATTAGTATCTGTTGGGTTAGGTCACTTTCTTTTCCGTATGTTGGTGGTGGTATCTGAGGATTGGATACCAAAGGAGTTTAGGGTAATTGTTTTTTGGCTCATGATGGGGTTTGCTACATTGGCAATCATTACGTTTAATGTATGGATATTATTTTGGAGGGTTAGACTTGAAGAAAATACTTTGAAAGCCCATTTTGGAAAAGAGTGGGATATGTATGCGAAGGTGAGTAAGAAGCTTATACCATTTCTGTATTGATGAGTGAGATATGGATACAGTTAACAATACCATAAAAATAGTAATAAGTAAACTTAAAGCTAAGAATAATGTAAAAGTTTTAAATTAGACTGATCATTATTTTATTCAATATATTTGAAATTTGTATAGTAGATATTTTTTATTTAAACTTTAAGTTTACTTAATATTAACTTTAATGTTTTATTAATAAAAAATAAAGTTTACTATATAGAAACTTATTATTATTTTATTTAAATCATTAATTATTATGATACAGGTAATATCATAATTTGAAATTCATAATTGTAGGTGCCATCTTTAATGTCAGATGTGTACCTATTATACATGTCATCAAAACTATTGAATTGAGCCAGATGCAATTAAAAATTGAAAAAAATTGGAATTGGAATTGAGTCAAACAAAATTTTCATTACACAATGTCAATTTGGAAGTTTTGGAACCAAATCACCAATGCAGACATCAGTGTGCTAATCTTGCTAAGAGCTCAAATCCAATATCAAGTTTAACAATGATGTGCATTTTACTTTTTTTGACATGCTCGAGTGACATGCATCTTGCTTTTTTCAATATATTTTTAACATATTTTTGTTAGATTTCTCTTTATGCTATCCTACTTGCCATTGAAATCTAATGAAATTTAATTAAATCATATATTTATTTTATGGTTTTTATATTTCTTTTGCAAGCTAAAATGCATAGTAATTATTAAATTTAACAATAATTCATCAGGAATTTTTATATAATGTTCTACAACATTTTATGAATGGAACGTTCGTATAGTGTATACGTGTTGCCCAAATCCCAAATCATTTGGGATTTGGGACACCAAAATTCCAAATTACTAGTATTTGGGATTTGG